GGTACAGGTACATTATTAAGATTTATGGAGGAGAGAGGAGTGCCTACAAGGTTAAAACTCAAAGGGCATATCTGTTCTGCTTTGAGCATGGTTCATTTGCTGTTTTGATACCTTCGTTTGAGAGATCTCTCAGAAAAAGGAGTATCATCTCTGTAGGCAATCTTCACTGCAATCTTAATTTGGTCAGTTGTGTTGAAATTCTTTACTCTCCATCAGCAAGAAATATAAAGCAGACCCTAGAGGGGAGGGGCTCCTCGCCTTCTCATGTCTCACTTTTTCCCTTTTTACGTATTAATTTTATTTTTCACCAAGAATACAAATAATAGGCTTCATAAAACATTTTATACAGACACACACACACACACACATATAATTGTACCTTGCTCATATTCACCCTTCACTACCCTTTCTTGTACTGTTCGCTTTGTTCCCCCCAAATAGCCCCTCGTTGTGCCAAAGAGAGATTGCATATATTAATGAAAATAAGTGCTATTTATTTTTCTTATTACTGTAACCTTCTACCATAACCCTCTCATGCTCATCCTTCCTTTTAGATCCACTTTCTACTTTCATGTCAAATATATGTGTGCATGTATGTGTGTACATATACATATATTAATATTGAATCTAGATCATTTTCTCCTTCTTTCCTATGCCACCTGCTTGAAGTGACAATAGACATCCTGATAGGTCAAAGGAGCAATGACCTTGCCTCTTCTTGATTATTGAAAATATGTGTAATATATCTTTAAAACATAGTCAAAAGCAGGTATTTATAGAATACCCAGATTTAGGACAAATAAGTTATTTGGGGACTTAATTTTTCTGCACTTGTATTATCTGTAAATTGTTGATATTGACGTCCTGAAAGGTAGGTAGTATTCTTCAGTGAGGTACAATTTGGGGGAGAGGGACTCACTTCAATAAACAAAGGCAAATATTTTTCAGTGCTTTTTAATGCACCAATGGCACTTAGTAGTGCCTGGGTCTATGTGGGGTAGAAACAAATGTGGCCAATCAATGAGAATAGGTCAAAATGGGAACATCAGTCACCAAAAATTGGAAAGAGTGGTAGAAAGGAGCTTGGAGCTCTTGAGGCATTGATTCTTAAGTAGGGTATATCTCTGCCTTGAGGTGACCATGGACAAGTCTCCACCCCTCCCATCCTACCTCAACCCTCCTAGGAGTGAATAAATCAAATTATAAAAAGAAGACATTTTAGCTTTTGGGAACCTATAGGCTTAAGGCACTTCCTTTCTCTTCCTCAAATCTATTTTCTCCTTGGGAATACTTTCTAGGGAAGCATCTTTGGCCCAGGATAACTCAAAGGAGCCAGAACGAATCCCTGAGGAGAGGAAGCAGAAAGTGATGACTTTGGATTTACTCAAGTCTTCAGGAACAACTACAAATAGGACTATTAAGATGGCCCAATCCAGTTCTCCAGAGAGAGAGAGAGAGAGAGAGAGAGAGAGAGAGAGAGAGAGAGAGAGTTAGTTATGCAGGCATTCTGGATGGAAGGACTGACTTGTAAGGAAGCTTGTGCCTTTGGCTTAAGTGTATTGTGCCTCCTGAGGACCAGAGACTGTCAGATTGGACACAGAAGGGCAAAGTTCAGCATAGACAACTAGCCCCTCTGGGGCCTAATTGGCCAAGAGTTTTGATTTTTCTTGATTACTCCACAGCTCTTGTTACCAAGAATAAGATTAGGTCCAAAATTCCAAGTCGAGTTTTCTATCATTTCATTTCATTCTGTTTTTAAGACTGGGTCTAGCCTTGAACTCATGATCGTTTTGCCTCAGCCTCCTGAGTAACTGGGGTTGCAGATGTATGCCACCATGCCTAGCTTGTTTGCATTCTGTGCTATTCTCTATCCCTTATTTATACTATTTTGAGATAGGAGTCTCATTGTATTGTCCAAATTGGCTTTGAACGTGAAATCTTCCTTTCTTGCCTCTCAAGTAGTGGGAGTTATAGGTGTGTGACAGTGCACCTGGAATATCAATTAGTTCTTTTCTCTTTACTGGGAATTGAACCCATTGCCTCACACATGCTAGGCAAGCAATCCATCAATGAGCTCCATCCCAGTCCTTCAGTTCATTCTATTAATCCTCTCCCTTCCCTCCCCTCCCCTCCCTCCCTTCCATTCCCTTCCCTTTCTTTCCTCTCTTCCCCTCTTCCTTCTCTCTCAAATAGTCTCATGCATCTCAAACTAGCTATATAGCTGAGGTTTTTCTTAAACTTCTGATCCTCCTGCCTCTCCTTCCCAAGTTCTGGGATTACAGGAATGCACTGCCATGATGTTTGTGTACTTTTGGGGCTCAAACCAAGGCTTCACGCATGAAGGCTAGCATTCTACTGAGGTACACCCCCAGCTTCAGTTCATTTAAAAAAATATTTTATTTATTACTTTTATGTGTTCGAGGGTATTGCCTATATGTATATGAGTGCACCTGTGTCCTGCAATGCCACAGAGGTCAGAAGAGGGCTTCAGATTCCCCTGGAACTGAAGTTAAGAATGGTTTGTAGCTGCCATGTGGGCGCTGGGAATCGAACCCGAGTCCTCTGCAAGAGCAGTCAGTGCTCTTAACCACTGAGCCATCTCTCCAGCTCCTTCAGTTCATTTTTTAAATTGTCTCATCTGATGTCCTTTTTTCTTCAGTGGTAAAATAGAACCTGTATAATGCCATCAATTGCACAAGACAAAAATCAGTAATGTAGAGAAGATGGCACGTGTTGCTTAAGTTCTCTTGCTGGGGCCACTTTGGCCAATATTATTCATTGGCCCAGTGAGTTTTACCATTTTTCCTATCAAAAGGTTTGTGCTGGGCTGAGGATGTGTAGCTCAATGACAGAGCACTTGCTTTGGGTGTATGAGACCCTAGGTTCCATCCTCAGCTATTCTTTTTAAAAATATTTTATTTATTATTTTTATTTTATGTGTATGTGTATGTGTGTATTGCCTGCATGTAGGTAAGTGCACCCATGTCGTGCAATGCCTGCAGAGGACAGAAGAGACTGTTGGATCCCCTGGAACTGGAGTTATGAAGAGTTGTTAGCTGTCACATGGGTGTTGGGATTTGAACCCAGATCTTCTGAAAGAACAGTCAGTGTTCTTAACCACTGAGCTATCTCTCCAACCCCTTAAGCTATTCTTTTTTTTAAAGCAGTTTTAGTTGTTTGTTTAGTGTGTGTGTGTCTGTGTGTGCACGCATGTGTGTGCACCACAGCATATGTGTGAAGGTTGGAGGACACCTTGAAGGAATTGATTCTGTCCTTCCACCATGCAGGTGCCAGGAATTAAACTCAGGTCATCAGGCTTGGCGAGAAGCACCTTTAAACACTGAGCAATCCCCCCAGTTCACTTTAAGCTAATCATCATAAACCATTTAATTAAAATAAATGTTAAATTAAAAATATAAAAATATAAAAGTTCACTAAAAATATTAGGCATGAATGACAAGGTAACAGCATGTACAAGTTCTATGCAAGCTCAAACCAGATAGAATTCCAGCATAGATACAGGGATGTGGGTAAGAAACCCCAGCCTGAGCTGAGAACTATTGGCAACTCATAACTACCAGAAA